CATTTAAAAATTCGTTAAAATCGTAAAAGGCACCCCTGAGTAACAGTTGCTTAATTTGGACCTTAAATGTGTTCAAATGTGCATTCTTAATCGATTCGGGTAGAGCATTGAAAAATTTTGGAGCATAGTAGTTGATTCCATTGCGACTTTTTGAAACTCTCTGATAATCTAGGTATATGTTTTTGGAACTTCTGGTGTGGTGATTATGTATGTCAGAGTGACTTGTGTATTTATGTAAGTTGGTTTTAATATATATAAGGCACTGGAAAATGTAAGAGCTGGGAACTGTAAGTATTTGTAGAACTTTGAAGGAGTCCTTGCAGTCATCTCTGTACTTCAAGCCTGACAGTACCCTTATAGCTTTTCTTTGCATGCCGAAGACTTCTGCAGCGTGTGGAGAGTGTCCCCAAGAAATAATTGCGTATGATAAAGAGGAATGGATAAATGCATGATAAGCGGAGAGAAGTGTGGCGTTGTGCACTGTTTCAGATAGGGTGCGTATTAGATGGATGTGAGAAGATAGTTTTTTGCAGATGTTTTCTGTGTGATGCTGCCATGACAATATTAGATATTTTCCACAGGATTCTTACACAACTTTGTGAATAATTTATTTGGAAATTATTGCTTTCTTCTTTTCTTTGGAATATTCGCACACTTTTTTGTTTAAAGATGGAGAAGTAGAGAGCGAATACCTTTTTTCCCAGTTTTATTCCATATTTGAAAATTGAATTGAAAATAATAGAAAAACTGGAAGAATCTGAAATAACAAATTTCAATGAAGGGATTCAAAAGTTTAAAATGAATTTATTTTTCACTCAATGCAGAGTTTACTGATAACATTATATAATTATCTGTCTTCATTACGTTAAACTTTCGAACAAGAACTACGGTGGGGCGTGCTACTTTTGAACAATATGTATGTGGACTTTGTCAGAAATATCAAATGTAATATAGGTTGTGTTGAATTTCATATTACAATAGTGATGCAATTCATAAATAGCCCCACTTTTGTGATTTTTTTGAACAGAAAATGCGAATCAGTTGATTTCTATTTTGAAATATCCTTCCATTTCGATTTCAGCAGGAAGTTAATATGTGAAACAAATAACCTTACATTATAATACATTTCAAACTTGGTCCAACCAACTATTTCGATTATCACATCATAGTAAAAGACCTTTTGGAGAACAACCCAAAAACGTTTTGAATGAAAGTGGGATAAGTAAAAATTAAAACAGAAATCGAATCAAATACCTATTTAGTTATTCATAATACAACCCAAAACACTGGGCATATCCAAAAACATAAGTATTTTCCAGAGCAAATGCAGCATATCCGTCTTTTTCAGCATCCCACAAAAATTTACAAGTTGCCAGAATGTCCTGTGAATGTTTCTCTCCTATGGTGACTAGACAGACTATCTTGTATCTGTCGAAATTCATTCTTTTTACCCTGTATCTGATGGAGGCTGACGCCCATTTCGCTTGTTTGTTACATTTTTCAACGTCGTAAGTAAGATTTTCCAAAGCCTCTTCCATTACTTTTCTCAAAATCTTATCCACTTCTTCGGGATTGAAAGGATTTTCCGCTTCCATTTTGTAAGTGTTGGCGTATCGCACCATTTTTTTTTCGCTCACTTCTCCCGAGATGCCCATCTGTCGTATATCGATTATGCTACCCAGTGCAGACTTAGCAAGCATCCCGAATTTGTCTTTACTTTTTTCGTACATCAGTGGTTCACTGGCGACAGCTAGCTGGGGTGTGGAGTGGTCACCACTCCTATGCTTCGGGGTTCTCAGCTCCACTGACTTTTGTTCTGCATCCTGTTGAGCTGGTAAGTGCTCCGGTTCGGGCTCCTTCCTGATTTCTTCTTGTTGTACGGGTTCTAGCTGTGCCGAATCATCTTGTTTGATGTCTTTATCGGATTCTTTCGTATAAGCTTCCGCAGATTCAATATGTTCGACATCAGTTTCACCATGTATATTCCCATCAACTTCTTGGTTCTCATTTACTTCTACTTGTTCCTTTTCTTCCACCGGTTCAATATTCTCGCTGGACATTTTAAGGAAAAATAATTGTGCTGTCAAACTGTGACATTTATCTAATTAAAGTCCAAAATCTTCATATTTTTGGCGGAGAAAAAAAGTGAAAATTGACAGTAGATATTTCATTCTTTATATTGAAATATTTCGAATATACTGACTCGGTACTTGGTGTAATTGGTATATTTTCACAATGTTGACTTAATTTCCAATACGTGTTTCCATACAAAAGTAGCTTCCCCATTTGGATTGCTATTGTACACATCTCTATAATGCAATATACCAAGCTGGTCCCAGAACTGCCCAGAATGACTTAGATATCACTGTATTGAAAAGTACAGTCGAAGTAAACGGTATTGTGCACACTTAAAGTTATCGGCATTCTCGAAGGCCAATAAAACCAATACATAGAAATGAACCGGCTGTGAAATAGTTCACGTGGACTGAAGAATCGGTGGTTCGTTTTGGATAATTTTTACTTACCGAGTTTCATGATTTGCTGAAGGGTCATAAAATTAAATTTGAAGTCATGTTACGGTGACGAATGGAAATCGGGAATGCGGGGATGGTTATCGCCGTCGTGTCTTCAATGTTCAGTTCAGGAACTGATCGCCATTTGAGTGTTGAAATTCGATATTGGTGCAGTTATAATTACCTTTGAAATTTTTGGTATCTGTTTGAAATGTCGCGTTCTAGGAAAACTACTAATAGTAATAACGAGTGTGATAACAACGCAGACTTTTCCAGTGTAGTGATTCCAATAGCGATGATGAACAATACGAAAAAGAGATACCAGTGAATAAGACTCGGATGCATTTGAATATTGAAACACAGAGAGTATGTTTCAATGAATATAAGAATCTACAGCTCAAGTTTGGTTTCGAGAAACTATCACAAGCAACATCAGATTTGACCGAAATTCCTTTCTCAACTGTACGTAAAATTGTCTAAAACAAACCTTATGAACGCAAGACGCGATGTGATACGGGATTACCAAAACCTTTAGATGTTCATCTAATAAAATCATTAAAAAAAACAATATACGACTGTTACAAATGACATTCCTACAACTGGAATCATAAGGAAGAATATGAATATCTCCGGCCATAACGTGAACTGCTGTGACAAAACTCTTCAGAATTGGATAAAGAAACTAGGATTTAGATCTAAAACAATAAACAAACATCAAGCAGTTATGGAAAGCAGAAAAATGGTGTAATACTTAAGAATACAAATACTTACAATTAATAACTAAATATAGACAATAACAAAGGCAAAAAGTGAATGAGATTCTGATGCAGTTGAATATTGAAACACAGAGAGTATGTTCCAATATATATAAGAATCTACATATCAAGTTTGGTTTCGAGGGAAACAAACTATCACAAGCAACATCAGATTTGACCGAAATTCCTTTCTCAACTGTACGTAAAATAGTCAAAAACAAACCTTATGAACGCAAGACGCGATGTGATACAGTATTACCAAAACCTTTAGATGTTCATCTAATAAAATCATTGAAAAAAACAATATACGACTGTTACAAAGCAATGAGATTCCAACAACTGAAATCATAAGGAAGAAATTGAATACTTCCGGCCATAACGTGAGTTGCTGTGACAAACCTAGGATTTATATTCAAAATGATGAACAAACGTCAAGCAGTTATGGAAAGCAGAAGAATTGTAGAATTGCGTAACAAATACTTGGAACAAATAACTTAATATAGACAAGAAAAACGGCAAATTTTTTATTTTGACGAATCTTGGTATGACGACACTCACGACAAGGATCGTGACTAATCATTGTGCATTGCGGAGGAAGTAAAGAATGGGTTCTGAATTCTTTGAAATCATGTGGAAAAAATCTTGAGGACTGCATTGTTGACTATCATAAGAACATGGAGGCTAATATTTTCGAGAAATGGTTTGGAAACACATTTATTTCAAATTTGGGTGCGAATAGTGTAAACGTTCTTGACAACGCTTCATATCATTCAGGACAGCTCATCAAAGTAGCGAACAATAATTCGAGGAAAGATGAAATACAAAGTTTTTCAATAGATAACAATTTGTATATTGAAGATTACGATACCAAAAACTAACTACTTGAAGTTTTATAGACAAAAACATTTGAAAAAGTGTATGCCCTTGAGAGTATTGCTGAAAAGTATGGACACACCATACTGAGACTCCCTATCATTTGCGACAGCTCCTCAAAGTACCGAATAAACATTCGAGGAAAGATGAAATACAAAGTTTTTTAATGGATGAAAATTTGTATATTGAAGATTACTATACCAAAAACAAACTACTTGAAGTTTTATAGACAGAAACATTTGAAAAAGTGTATGCCCTTGAGAGTATTGCTGAAAAGTACGGACACACCATACTGAGACTTCCCCCCTATTTTTGTGTCCCATCTAGTCGATTTGGGAAAAATTGAAACAAAGCATCAGGGGTAAAAATAATTTTCCAAAATTTGATAGAGCTAATTAAAGAAAAAACATCTAATATTGATGAAGAAGACTGGCAGAAAAAGATTAAAAAAATTATTTCAGTTGAAAAAGACTATATGGAGATTGGACACTTCCATATTATTGGTGGAAATACATTCATTATTGATTTAAATGACGACAGTGATAGTGAAATAAAAAATATGGAAGAGGAATTACCATAAGCTTTCGAAGAAAGTAAGTAGTATTCAGAAGTATTTTCAATTATCACCCTGCTATGTGAATCCCTTCTTTCCACTCACCTATAAAAACGAAATATTCATTATGTATATTATTATTTATATTTTTATGTATATATTATATAGTTATTGTGATTCTTTTCAACAGAAAAG